TCGGGGCTCTTGTAGCTGCTGAAGATGGTGGAGAAGTCGACTTCTGTTGAGCGGAAAATCGCTTGTATTAATAAAAGGTTCACCATATTTTCAAATTTTATTTTAAATTTCACTTTTTTTCACTTTATTACCTTTAGACTGAAAGTTGTTTAGATCGAGGCCTAGCTCACGCGTTCCAGGCAGCGCCGTTGCCTGCTGTTGTTGTTCAGAGGCGGAGGTGAGCAGGTGTGTTTCTAGTATTTTTTAGAGTAAGTTTATGAAGGCGAGTTAAAAAGGTTATCATTACTAAATTTTATTTTTTTATTCATTTAAATTCTAATTCCTAAGCTTTTACCATTTGCCAGAATCTTTGACCTTGCCGGAAGTGTCGCAGATTTATTATTATTATTACTATTATTTTGTCCAGCTTCATGCACCTTGAGAACGGTGGTCATCGCCTGACTCTCCCCGTGCCAGAGGTCCTCATTGGTGAGATTTAGGTGGGTGACGCCCTTCAGCCGCTCATCGGCGTTGTCGATGTAGTCGACGTCGAATTCGTCGTCTTCCGGAGCGGAAGTTGTGCTGTTTAATTTTTTATTTGGTGAAGAAGAAGGTTTAACTGTTGTCGTTGTTGAAGTTGTGGAAGTTGTGGGCGTTTTTGTTGTTGCTTTTGTAGAACTAGTTGTCCTAGGACCGATTGGAGCACTGTAGACAAATGGTGAAGGTCGTGGACGTAATTGTGGACTTGAGGATGATGATTTTACAGTTTTTGGTTTTATGTACACCGGTGAAGCTGGCGGTTTGGGACTTTCTTTAAAAGGCTTAGGAGCTGCAGTAGCAGCGGAAGAGCTAATCCGTGCGCCAAAGATTGGTTTAAAGGGCGTTTGAGAGGGAAGTTTGGAGGAAATTGGAGCAACAGGTGCTGATGATGACTTTGGTTTAATTTGATTTGGATTTATTTGAGATTTGGGTTGTTGGGGTAGTGGTGGACTGAAACCTGTTGAAGTTGGTGGTTTCATTTTATTTTGTTGTGGCAGTGGTCGTGGTGGTGGTGATGAGGGCAAAGGTCGTCGAAACGAGAGTGGTTGTCGATTTGTATTTAGTGGTTTGCGGACTATTTATGTGAAACAAAATATGAAATTGTTTTAAAAGGTTATCATAATAATTTACTAGCAGGGCCAGCATAAACTCAGTTTATGCAGTGTACTCTCAAAA